GAAACTACAGCTTTCTGCTAGTCTGACTTGTGAATAGTGTGTCAGTCATCTTAACTCAACTTTTCAAATACCCACTTCCTGAAAAAGGAGTTCCTTCAAATTGAATGATATTCCGGATTTCACAGGCTTTTGTTTTCCTTAGGTGAAGCATTTTCAGTAACTCCTTATGCAAACTCTACTGAATACTCCTAAGAAAAAATATTCATCTGTCACATCTCAAACACTGGAAATAAATGTCTATGTCCTTAAACAGATTTCCCAATTGCTCTACAGATAAGATTATGTGATTCATTTGTTAGGATCTCACTTATAATGGTAAAGCCATGATTGCCACCACTTGCTGAGCACTTAGATTCCAGCAGTTGACAGACATTAGGGAACATGCCATCATGCTTTCTCTGCACTCAGAACGTACAGACTCCTGTGTGCCTACTGTGTTACCCCCTGTGCCTTAAAACATAAGGAGATGGGGCTCCCAGATGTCTGTTTCATCCAGCTAGGAAGCAGGTGTTGAGGCAGGATGGAACCTGCATTGTGCTCACCATCCTAGCCACCATCTTAGCCATTATGCCCTGTGAGTCTCTCAAAGTCAAGGTCAACTTGGTTAAGGAAAGAGATTCTCCAGAACAGACTTGAAGTCAAAGGGGGTTGGAAAGGGGTATTATTCTAGCTTCAGAGATTTATTTTAAAAGGAAAACCAAGAAATGAAACCCATAATGCCTGCAATGAGAAAACAGACACAATTTTAACATTGTCCTACATCCTTCACACCTGGCAGTTAACAGTGTAAAGAGAGAGGCAAACATTTCCTCAGGTACAATCTAGGGATATTGTGAGATGTCTGACAGCTCTGACTGAGTTTGGGGACTCATTAAAGCAGACACATCTTTCTTTTGCCTCCTAGGTCTATTCTTCCTTTGGCTTTAAAATGTCATGACCACTCCCAGAAGGTGGGAGATGATGGGAAAGCTGGAGCTCCAGATGTGTCAACAGCAGGTGCAGCATCCTCTGGAACACTGGAAAAGGAGTGATAGGATTTCCCCTGGGGCTAAGCTCCAGGTGCTCTGGGAAGGGATGAGGCCATAAAGTGCCTTGTCATTTATCAGGGTGTCAAGCTATCCAGGTGCTCTCAGCAGGAGTTGCCATTGCAAATCTGCCCTTTAGCAACCATCAGATGATTCCTGATAAAAATTTGGCTACACACCACTGTCAGGTACCTTGGGATCTTGGCATAGAACAGGCTTTTTTATAGGCAAGCTTCTTACCTAATTTGGACAGATTTGGTAAATTCTTTCCTAGCAATGACATGAAGATATTCAATGCACTGTTAGGAAGTCTCTGACCAGAACAGCTTGTTTGTTGCTCAGGAGGCTAATATTAGAGACTGGAAACAGACCTTTTCATTCTAAAGCCATGTACTTAATTATCTCCACCCTAAATCAGTTCCAGAAACAATCACAAATGAAAGCAAACAAATCTGGCCAATGTTAGAGGATGACTAGAAGGTGGGGAGTTCCATGGACTGCTATCTTCTCCTCTCAGCATCTCTTTCCTTCTCCCACCTCCTGCCCTAGGAAGGCAATTCATCTACCAGAGTACATTGTATCCTTGTATGCAAGGAGACTATTTTCCAAGTGTTTTTAAAACAGTGATACCTGTGAGGGTCTTTCAGGGTTCCGATTTCTGGGCAGAGATATCCCCATTAGACCTTGTAGCTTTTAAAATATTTAAAACTTCAATGAAAGAAGGAATGTGTACATCGTTGGCTCCTCCGGTGGGTGGATTCTTACCCATCACTTTAATACCTTCATCCCAAGTATAGTCAAAGTTAACAACTAAGTTAGAATGTAAATAACAGTAGCTGGTGCTTTATTTCCCACAGGTACAACAGTACAGCAAGCTGCACTAAAGGACAAGTGCTTCTGAGATGTGTGTATTATCCTCATTTTACATATGGTCCAAAATGCAGTGCCTCAGCCGGGTAGCACCGTCCACCATTGTAACTGCACTGACTGCAATGGTACCAGATTCTTGCAGACTGAACAAACATCTTACTGTGTTTTTCCTCCTACCTACCTACTTCCCCTCACTGTGTCTCCTCCCTGCATCTGAGTTGTCTGCCTTCTCCTCTAAATTCACTAGCTGCCATGAGGGTACACAGTGGCACCATTTTTATGTTCACTCTGAAGTTCATGGGGGACCATTATTTTATAACCACCAATTCAATTGGCTTCTAAAATACACGTCATTTCTATACTAGCACCCATGTCCAAACCCATGATACCTGTGGACATTTCTGTCCTCTGTCCCCTTTTGTGGCTCTGTACAGAAAACCCAGATGTAGTAGCTTTGTTTGTCTCACTTCCTGGATCCCTTTCCCAGCCAGGCTTCTTGTAAATTTACTTTGAGTTTCATTTTGAAGTGACAAGTAGCATTTTTCAAATTTTGCTTACTAATTGCATATTTATCTATAGTCTTACTTAATGACAAAACATTGCTTGGGCCCAGGAGACAGCTTTGGGAAGGAATTTGGGGACAACACAAGCCACTGGAAAGTGATAAGGCAGTAAACCCAAGGAGCTCTCCAAAGATCAGGTAAAATGGTGGACACAATACTGTAATCAAATAGCCAGGAGCTGTTTGGGGATCTTCTCAAAAACAAAAACAAACAAATAAAAACCAAAAACAACAAAAACGAAATTTCCATCTGGATTTACATGTGTACGTATGTCCCCTTATATATGAATGTGCAACTATAGCTCATGGGATATCTAACTCTACTGAGTTAGTTCTTTTTCTCAGTTCTGTGAATTAATATCTGACAAAGGCAACGGAAGGATGAGAAGTCTCTTTTGGCTAACTGCTTGAGGGTATCATAAAGGAGAGTCTGCAGGTGGGGAGTGTGAGGTAGGTGGTCACTTTGCCTACACTATGTGGAAACAGAAAGAGGCAAATATTGAAACCTCAGCTCACTTTCTCCTTTTTACTCAATGGGATGCCCCAGCCCATGGGATGTGAAATTCACATTCTGGATGGATCTCCTTTTTCAGGTAAACATAATAAGACATGCTCTCAAAACATACCCAGAGGTGAGTGTGTGTGTGTGTGTGTGTGTGTGTGTGTGTGTGTGCCTGTCCTAGGTGAATTCAAATCCCATGATGGGTAATCACCACAATGACAAATATCATTTGGGAAGACTATGTGAAAAGTTTAACTGACCCTATTGATGGTGGCATCCATTTCACTTGATCTGTCACTTACTTACTCTGCAAACCTTGGCTCTGTCATCTACAGAAAAGATACGGCCCTTATTTTAAAAGTCTCCTAAGGATAATGTCTTAAATACATTATTGTATAGGGATTTTCAGCATTAAGTGATGAAGGTTATCCAAAAGCAGAATGGCAGCTATCATATATTGAGTATGCACTATGGCTCAGGAAAAAAAAGCCAAATATTCTGTATTTCATTGTATCATCTCAGATAAGAGATACCAAGTCACCACAGGATACATCCTGTCACTATACTCTATGACCCTAGTAGGGTTTAAAGCAAGAGCATCAGAAGACAGACTCTTTAAAGAACCCCTATAAAGGCCTAGGGTCACTTGGTAAATGTAAAATAAAAGTTCACCAGTTCCAGTTCAAGGGAATTTTTTACATCCATTTCCTGACAGCTTGCTTCATTTGAATTCCAAATGTGTACCTCTCTCTCTCTATATATATATATATATATCTATCTATCTATCTATCTATCTATCTATATATATATATATATATCCCTCTCCCTCTTCCCCTCTGCCCTGCCCCTACCCCATTCCCCCTCTCTCCCTTTCCTTCTCCCTCTTCTCAGGGAGAAGGCCCCATCTCTCCCAGAGCCTCTAACCTGGAACTTTAGTTCACTCTACTTCTCTGTGTCTTTGCCTATGCTATTGCTCAGTGACTTCTCATACAGGGAGGGATCATGTCACTGTCATACACCATTGGTTCCCAGCACCAATGCTGGGTAATTGATTGATTTCTGCACTGGGCAGTGATTAGTGAAGTATGTATGTAAATGTAGCTTATTAGGACTATATCTGCAGCAGCATCTGTATCTGTGATATCTACTTGCAAATGTTTTTTTGTTCCTTGTGCTTTCATGACCTCATTAAACTTTCCACCCTCTCTTCAGGCTGCCATTTAAGCATCTGCTCTAGCCTTGTCACTGGATAAGAGGAGGAGTTGGCTCTTCTGAGCCTCCATTCTCCCATCAGTGGAACTTAACGAAGCTATACCCTCCTGTGTCCTTCAGTCTCCTGCTGTCTCAGTTTCCATGAATGGATTTTCCACCTAATATGAGGTAAGTCAGGGGCCCTCAAAGGTCATGAAATCATGAAATCAATGGTTTCTATAAAAACAATGTCCAGCCAACTTGAGGGTCTTACAGTGTACCAAGTAATAGTCTCCCTACCTAGCCTGAATGCAAATTATTTGACACAAGATTAAGTCATCTAGTTGTTCTTTATTCTAACATATAATTTAATATAGAGAAATACAAAAAAATGAGAGAGCACATTATCCCTACCTAAATAACTTCTGATTTTTTTCAATGTGTTTTTATTGAAGCAAGAATTTTATAATTCAAGTTATGTTTCCTTGCCCAGTTATCAACTCTGTTGTTAGAACTGACATTGTGAGTTATTAAACAATAAAGATTACAGAATTAAAGGGGTGCTTTAAATGTTTCCACTTTGCTGAAAATGCTTTTCCTGGGGTCCACAAGACATGGGCTTGCTGAATTTACTATTTATGGGAGGGGGTGGTGCAGATTTTAAATCAGTCTAGACCTAACATTAGACCTGGCACTTGCTCAGTACATAAAGTTCAAAGTTTCCTTTCCTTTTTTATTTATTTTATATTTTGCCATTTTTTTGTATATTTTTTTAATGTTTAGATATTTTTTCCTCTGCGTAGAGTGGGTTTCTATTTTTTTTCTTTTTTTTTTTTTCAATGCCACCGATCAGTTTAAATAGTAGGGACACCAGAGTTACTGCTAAGGGCTTTCTGGACAGCCTCCTTAGCTTGGTGGGCTTGGAGTAAGGCCACAGCTTCATCGTCCTTAGAGCGCAGAAACTCGGGAGACTCAAGCATACTAAGTGGTTCTAAGTTATCGATCTCCAGGAACATGCCTGTCATCTTACCAGCAAGAGTCGGGTGCATGGCTTGAATGAGAGGAAACACCCTTTCACCCACCATTTGCTTTTGCTCTTGAGGAGCAGTTACCAACATGGGAGCAGTCCAAGGTTCCTGATCCTGCATCCGAACAGCAGGGTCTTGCACCTGTGGGTTAAGATGTTGCTGGGGGTTTCGGACTCCGGTGGTGTATTTGTACTGTGGAACTGAGCGAATAGAAGTAGCTGGTGCTGCAGCTGCTGCTGCAGGAGGTTGACCCGCTGTCTGTGCTGAAGTGTTAGGAATGCGGTGTGCTGGCACGACTTGAGGAACATGTGAAGGACTTGGTCTTACAGTACTAAATGATGATCTAGGAGTAGCTGGGTGGATAGCACCAGGCACATTTGGAAATGGATGAGGCCTGACTCCCTGAGCAGTCCAGCGAGCACTTGGCCTTGACTGAGTCATCTGGCTAGGGCAGCATGGCACACAGTTCTGAGTCTGAGGGACAGCGGCCATGGAGTAACCTGAAGGTGCAGGTTGGTAGGGGTTCATCACAGTGTTGGGCACAGCTCGTACACTTGCCATTCTCTGCATATACTGGTTAGTGAGGTGAGCCTGGCGCTCTTCTTTGCGCTGGGCTAAAGCTACATACAGTGGCTTCGTGACCACAATTCTGCCATTCATTTCTGAAACTGCTTTGGTGGCTTCTTCGGGGGAGGAGAAACATACAAAACCGAACCCTTTGCTTCGACCACCCTCCATCATAACCTTTGTACTGGTGATTGTTCCAAAGGGAGAAAATTCTTTCTGCAGACGCTCCTCGTCAATACCATCGTCAAGATTTTTCACGTAAAGGTTAATACCTTGGTATCTGATGCTCCTGTCTTGTGTCACCTGTTCAAATTTGCGCTTAAGTTCTGTGTGCCGGTCTACTTTTTTCTGAGCTCGACCAACATAGATGTGTTTTCCATTGAGTTCCTTTCCATTCATCTCATCCACTGCTTTCTGCGCATCTTCGTGTCTTTCAAAGCTGACAAACCCGAATCCTTTGGATCTCCCACCTTCATCAGTCATGACTTTCACACTTAAGACCTGTCCAAACCTGCCAAAGAGGTCATTTAGGGTCTCATCATCCATGCTGTCCCCAAAGTTCTTGATGTAAACGTTGGTGAACTCCTTGGCTCTCTCTCCAAGCTCTGTTTCTCTTTCTTTCCGAGATTTAAACCGTCCAACAAACACTTTTCGATCATTCAGAAGCATCCCATTCATTTTTTCAATGGCTCTTTCTGCTGCCTCCTCTGTTTCAAAATGTACAAATCCATGGCCCTTGGAGCCGTTCTCATCGCAAACTACCTTGCAGGAAAGGATATTGCCGAAAGCAGAAAATGTATCATACAGCGCTTTGTTATCAATGGTTTTGTTCAAATTTTTAATGAACACGTTGCCTACTCCACTTCTGCGCAGTGACGGATCACGCTGAGACCACATGATACGGACTGGCTTGCCCTTGATGACATCAAAATTCATGGTGTCCAAAGCGCGCTCTGCGTCCGCAGGCTGCTCGAAGTTCACAGAAGCATAGCCCAAGGAGCGGCGGGTAATCACATCCCTGTACACCCGGATGGAAAGGATGGGCCCGGCTGAGCTGAATTTCTCATAGAGCATCGCCTCAGTCACATCGGGGTGCAGGTCCCCCACATAGAGCGAGGCCATGGGGCAGCCTGGGGCGCTGGGGTTCATCTGGGCACCGCTGCCCATTAGGCAGCAGGCCGCCACCTTCCTGCAAGAGAAGTAGAGCCAGTGCTGGGCTGAGGCGGAGGCAGGAGCGGAGCAGGCAAGCGCAAAGGGTCAAAAACCAAAGGGATGGAAATCTCCCCAACCGCCAGTCAAAGAGCCCGGGAACCCCAGAACCCACGCATGCGCAGTGCGTGGTGCGCGCTGCCCTGGGAGCGAGGCTGGCTGGAGGGTTAGGTGGGTAGGCACATAAATGTGGGCTCTGCTAGGAGAGGGTGGACACGTGGGCCTCAAATGTCTCACCTCATTATTTTAATCAAAGAAGAAAATAACAAAATTTAAAGCCAATGACGCTGATTATTTTTTAAATCTTTGCAGAACCAAGAAAAATATTTTACTCTCTCTCTCTCTCTCTCTGTGTGTGTGTGTGTGTGTGTGTGTGTGTGTGTGTGTGTGTGTCTTTTTTGTGTTGAGGCTTATTTTGTTAAGACATGTTCTCGATCTGTAATCCAGAGTGTCCTGGAACTCACCGTATAGACCTTTCTGTCCTTGAACGCATGGTGATCTTCCTGCCTTAGCCTCTAAGAGCTGGGGATACTTATAGATAATACATGTGTGTTCCAAGGCCAGAAGGGACTCTGTACTCTCAACACTAAGCATGAAGGAGACACATTTGGTATTTTAAAAATAAAATGTTTACAGGATCATGTTTCCATTCTCATTTTTTTTTTAGCAGCAATTTTTAGAACAATGTATTTTGTGCAAGCTAATCCTTTGTTAGGAGAAGTCACAATTCATTTTAACTCTTGCTCCTAAGGACAGAGTAGAGAATGGGGAGTAAACAGATGCCTTCAGTCTGTGGAGAACACTGGTAAATGTCCTGTGACCAGTTCTGGATTCCCAAAAAGATAGCTAATCACCACCAATCCTGCCAGTAATGGCTCTTTCTTTCTCACAGAGACAAGTTATTTAATATCCAAACAGTCCATATCCATAAACTAGAATCCTATGAGATAAGAGGTGAAAGCACTTGTCAGTGCAAGCCTAGCAACCTGAGTTCAGCCCCCCCACCACCACCCCGAACCAGTGGTGGAAAGAGAAGCAACTCCCAAAGGTTATCCACTAATCCCCATGTGCTCTCCTCTCTCTCTCTCTCTCTCTCTCTCTCTCTCCCTCTCTGTCTCTCTCTGTCTCTGTCTGTCTGTCTCTCACTCACTCACACACACACACACCATACATAGATGTATTAGTGATAATTAAATAAACAACTTTATAGAATTATAAATTAGTTGATTGTCAAATGGTCCTTGTGGATCAGGGAAGAGAATGGAAAGAGGGAAAGACAACCAATGTGATGAATGTTTATGGAGTTGCTGCCTAGGTTGGATTCCTGAAGCTCCATACCTCCATGCCTCCTGAGCACAATGAGAAATGCATTTCCAAAGGAAAAAGAGGAGAAGCCTATGTCTACAGCCATTTCGATTGGCCAATGGGGGCTGCAGCCATTCATCCTCACACAGCCCATGTAGAAAGGGTTCCTATGCTTCATGTCATAGCACTAGGGAATCTTTGAGGTTTAGTTGGGTCCCCTACCAGCAAGATATTGACCAGAGGTTGGGAGGTCTTGTCACCTTCCACTAGGACAGGATCTGGTTCCAAACTAATGAGGTTTGGCAGAATCAGCTCTTTGCCAGCCATAATATCAGTATGGCCTCAATTTCCTGCTGAAAGCAGCAAAAGGAGGCTTCCTCAGCTCTCTGCCCCCTGTGCAGGCAAGCAAGCACACTTCTTCAACTCCAAGAAGTGGGAACTCATTTACTAGACAGGCATTACAACCACCAGTATTGTAATCAGAAATATTCTATAACCTTGCCATATTCCACTGATTAGAAGCAACCCACAGGTCCTATCCACATTCAACAGGGGATTTCACAGGCTTGAACAAAAGGAGAGACAAGTCCTGGGCTCACCTTAGAGTGTGCCTGCCTTTGTGGCTATGAAGACACATGTAAAGCAGTTAATTTTTAAACAACTTATTTACTATCAATTTGCCAAATAATGTAATCCCTTCTTTTGCCAAAGCTCCACTTTAATTTCATACGCACACACACACACACACACATACATACACACACACAAAACACTAGTCATGCTACCTTGGACATCTGCAGTCACAAAGGATGGAAATTAAGCCACTTTTAATTAAGCTTCCTTCGCATAAAATTGTTCCATAGCATTTCCCTTGGCACTGCTGTATTTGGTTATTTAGCATAACTCTAATGAGGTTGTTAGCAAATTGTATAGATATGCTAGTTAGGTCAAGTCATTGAGACAATAAGGGAAAAATCAATTTCCTGCCCCCAATGCTTTCCTTTTAATTAGACCTAGGAGGGCTACTGTGTAACACACTTATTTTCAATAATGTTGCTTTCAGGGAGATGTTTATTCATTTTGTTAGCTTAATGGGGTACATGTTACAGATGTTACAAGGATGTTTCAGGATGCCTTGAAGGGACTATGGGAGGTTGTGGTTTGACAACAAAACATCTCACAGCACTCTGAGGCCTGTGGGTGGAAGATGGGTAGTGCAGTGTGTGTTTGCATGCTTCTTCAGCATCCTTTACAGTCAGCTTTCCCAAAGGCTTGTTGTGCTCATTGCATCATGTGTTTGCATTTTCAACAGTGTTTTATAAGCTACAAGAGCCTTTACTGTTTCTAGCTGTAATGGTTATTACTGCCTGTAGAAATTGTATGGAAGGGTATCGAAAGAGTAAATAAAAATGTCTCATAGTACCCCTTCTCTTCAACTGCACTTCTGTCCACTGCACTAGAGGACCCAGCTCTGGGGGACTGCTAGAGATTGAGATCCACACCCCTGGCATCACCTATTGTGATTTATAACTAGCGTGTCTCCCCAGGATTCCATGATGTTTGGGGTATAGCTGAGCCACCGCCACTGAAAATTAAGGCTGGGATGTTTATTTTGAAGGGCAGAGTCAAGTTAATGATCCTACAAATTTCCTGACACACTAATGTATTTTTCTCATCTTTCAAATGAGGTAACAACCCAAGTCAATCCCAAGGAAGCCAAGAGTTATCTAAAAGCTTCAACACAGTACCTGCCAGGGGACTGGAAAAACAATCCACATTAGGAAAATGGAATTAGTTCTAACTATATTATTAGGTACTACAAATCACTCTCTTGGGCTCAGCAGATAAAGTATCCAAATTATTTTTCAACCTGCTTTTGTTTCCATTTCTAATATCATACACAATATAAACAAAAGAGATGTTCTAATTTAAAAATCATAGTTTTCATACTGTACAAAAACAAGACAAAACGTAGGCAGGAACTCCTCACGTTCCTTGCAGTCAACTTCATATGTACAGCATACTGATTGTTATTAATTAATTTTCCTTCTGCTCATATTTTACGGTGTTGACATTTACTGTTGATTTAGCATCTAATGCATGTGAAGTATTAAGCCAGATACCATGGAGAAGAAAAGAAATTCCCTTTCCAATCTGGGTAATTCCATGACCTCACCATTCTTAAATCCTCTCCCAGGAGATTCTATTGCCCTTGGGATGAGATTAAACTTTTAACCAGAGGCCAGAGGCAATGCAGGACAGTGCTGTGTGATCAGTTAGTTGACAGCTTCAGAAAAACCTGCCCCCATCCCACCGCCAAAAAAAAAAAAAAAAAAAAAAAAGAAAGAAAGAAAGAAAGAAAGAAAAAATTACTCCAGCAGCAGCAATGCCAGGTCTCCTTTCGCTCATTTTGCTGAACTGTGAATGTAGGACCATTCAACCCACCCATTTGTGAAAACAAGGCATAGTCCCACAAAAATACATGCTTTAGGAAAGTCACAAGATTCAAAAGAGAAGGAGCTAAGCACTTGATCTTGGCTGTGCTGTGAGCTGCATGGTCTTGGACAAGTATCTCACCTCATGTTCTTCAGGGACAGGAGGGTGATGGGAACTGAATAACAACTTGAAGTCGCTGTATCTAAAAATTTATTGAAGCCAGGCTATAAAGCCATACTGGAGCTTCAGAATGCATTTAAATTTATAATGATTAACCTCCATGGTCAGCTTGGTATGACCTAGAATCACCTAGGAAACCAGCAGACTGTCAGGCCCTTATGGGTATGCCTGGCTAGGGTGATCATGGTTAGAATGAGGCAAGAAGGAACTACCCACTATAGGTGAAACCATTCTCCAAGCTGGGGACCTGGGCTATGTAAGAGGAGAAAGGGACCTGAGGACAAATGTTCATCATTGTCTGCTTCCTGACTATGGACACTCTGTGAGCAGATTTCCCCAGCTCCTGCAGCCATTCCATCCCCATTGTGATGACATTTTGTTCTTGTTAGAGTGTCTCATCACAGGAACAGAAAAACAAGACAGAGGACCCAACACAAGAAGCCTTGTGTGCAGAAACCCTTTAGTGGAGCCATACTTTAACTTGCCTGACCCTGAAGCCCTTCGTCATGTCCCACAGTGTTCTCTGGAAACAACTTGGGGAATGATTTTCCAAATTCTCTTTTAGCTTTAAAACTTGGTAGTTGACATTTTCACTGATGAATGGTCTATACCTTCAATCCATGTGTTCCCTTTTAATTGTGACTTTCCACCCTCCTCGGGAACTGAGCATGGTGGGTGGCAAGTAAATGCTATTGATGGATTTATTTGGCTCTTAAGGTTAATGTATTCTAAACAGGGCTTATTTAATGTATTCGGCAAAATGTAGCCTAACTCACAACAGCTCTGGAGTGAGAAGCCATGTGCTCCCGGAACTAGGTGAAAACCACCAACTCTCCCCAGAGTTGGCCAGAAAGATGCCAGATGACATTTCGGCATCATTTGTGTATGAGAGTTTTGTTCTACTGAGGAAACAAAAGGCAGATTCTGTCTCTGGTTAGCAGACTTCTGATCTCACCTCCTCCTCCTGGATCTGCTCTGCAGAGTCAAAGCATTCAGTGCTGGGTGTCACTGAGCAGTCACTCTGATGTGACAGCCACTGCTTTTTCATCCTCTCCCTAGTAGTTCACAAGATAAGTTGCCTCTGTCAGATTCTCCTGAGGAAAATACCCTTCTTTTCATCAATAGAATGCCACTCTGTGTCTTCTTCAACAGTCAATTACCAAATGCCACCCCCGTGGCTTAAAAGAACTTGGGAAAGCACCA